CTTGGGAAGGTCACTTGACCTCTCTGAGCCTCTTGTTTTTCATCTACAAATGGATTGCAAAGTTGTGATGTCTACATGTGATGATAACTGTGAAAGGTTTTGACATAGAGGTCACTTAGTAAGTCTTCACTTCCTTTGCCCTTGACTGAGCTAATACCATAATGATTCCCACCCCTTCTTTTAAAAGAGGCATTATATATACACTTAAAATTGCAGTAAATTTGAAAGCGGTCTTAAGAATTTGTAGAACCCATTGAGATGATTATTTAAGGTAACAATTTCATCTGTGTTCTTGACTTTCATTTAGAAACCTTATCCTTTCCTTTTGTGGTGTCAGCCTACCGACATTGTGGGCTCATTCTTTCTGGCTATAAAAGTGTTCAAATGTTTTCTGTGTACAAACAAAACTGATATTTCACATCAAATGAATAGCCCACAAAATGGGAACAAACAGAAATACCTCTCAAAAAAAGCAAAAAATAAAACCCTTCTTAGTTCTCATTCCTATTTATCAACCTTCTTTTCTCTTGCTTTTATTGCTAATGTCTTAAAAAAATAACCCATAATCACCATGGTCACTTTAAAAGAATTTCCTTTTATTTCTAAAACTGATTTCAGTCCAACTTTCAACCCTACTACTCTATTGAAACTGCATTCCTCAGGTCACAAAAGACCCAATAGCAGAATCTGTGGGACACTAATAAGGCATTCTTTTTTTTCTTGGAGAAGGAGTCTCATTCTGTTGCCCAGGCTGGAGTACAGTGGTGCCATCTCAGCTCACTGCAGCCCCTGCCTCCCAGGTTCAAGCGATTCTACTGCCTCAGCCTCCCAAGTAGCTGGGATCAGAGGTGCCCACCACCACGCCCAGCTAATTTTTTGTATTTTTAGTAGAGACAGGGTTTTACCATGTTGGCCAGGTTGGTCTTGAACTCCTGACCTCAGGTGATCCGCCTGCCTCGGCCTCCTGAAGTGCTGGGATTCAGGCGTGAGCCACAGCGCCCAGTCCACTTGTAAGACATTCTTTTTCTTTATTTGCTGTCTTGTTCTCATCAAATCTATCCCTAGCCATTCTCATTACTTTTGTGTAGACAACTCCCAAAGCTGCATTCAGCTCACATTTATCTTTTCAGGTCTAAACTCATATATTCATTGGCTTTCTTGACATTACCACAGGATATCTCAATACAACCACAGTGTAGTGTGACTAAAGGCAAATCCACTTCAGCATGTATTCTTCATGTATTTTTTATCTCGACTAAAGACACTATCATTCACCTAGTTGTCCACTTTTAGGTATAATTTATTGAGGTATAATTTATATACAGTAAACTGTCATTTAAAGTGTATAATTAGATCAGTTTTGACCTATATCCACCTGTGAAACCACTACCACAGTCAAGATATAACAGATTTCTGTCATCCCCAGAAGTTTTCTCATGCCACTTTGCAGTGTTTATCCTCTATCTACCCTTGCCCTAGGGAACCAAGTTCATTATCTACCTTTAGTCACTAGAGGTTCGTTTGCATTTCTATAATTTTATATAAATTACATAATTTATATACATTTCATATAAATATAAAATGCTGTATTAGGGTTCTCCAGAGAAAGAGAACCAATAAGATCTATGTCTATACATAGGCATAGATATATATCTATAAAGAGATTTTAAAAATATATATATAGAGAAGTTTATTTTAAGGAATTGGCTTGCTTATGGGAACTGGCAAGTCCAACAGTTTTAGGGCAAGCTGACAGGCTGGAAACTCTTGTAGGATTGTGTGCTGCAGTCTTGAGTTTGAAGTTTGTAGGGCTGGCTAGCAAGCTGGAAACTCAGACAGAAATTGATGTTGTAATTTTAAGTCTAAAATCTGTAGGGTAGGCTGGAAATGTAGACAGGATTTCTATGTTAGAGTATTGAGGCAGAATTCCTCTTCCTCTGGGAAATCTGTTTTTGTTCTTATTGCCATCGACTGATTAGATTAGGCCCACCCACATTATAGAGGGAAGCCTACTTAAAGTCAACTGAGTGTAGTTAATCACATTTATAAAATATTTTCACACCAACACCTAGTGTAGCTTAGCCAAGTTGACATACAAAATTGAGCCATCACTTACTCTTTTTGCATCTGCTCACTTTTACTCAGTGGAATGACTTTGAGATTCTCCCAAGTTGTATTCGGTAGTTCATTCCTTTTTATTACTGAGTGCCCTTTTTTTTTTTTTTTTTTTTTTTGAGACGGAGTCTCATTCTGTCACCCAGGCTGGAGTGCAGTGGCGTGATCTTAGCTTACTGCAACCTCTGCCTCTTGGGTTCAAGCGATTCTCCTGCCTCAGCTTCCCAAATAGCTGGGATTACAGGTGCCCACCACCACTCCCAGCTAATTTTTGTATTTTTAGTAGAGACGGGGTTTCACCACATTGGCTGGGATGGTCTCAATCTCCTGACCTTGTGATCCACCCGCCTCTGCCTCTGCCTCCCAAAGTGCTGGGATTACAGGTGTGAGCCACCATGCCCAGCCTGCTGACTGGTATTCTGTTGTATGAATACGTGGCAGTTTGTTTAGTCATTCTCCTATTGATGGACACTTCGGCTATTTCTAGTTTTTGGCTAGTATGAATAGTGTGTTATGAACATTGGTATACAAGACTTTCTGTGAACATATATTTTTATTTTTAGGGGTTAAATATTTAGCAACCCAATGGTAGATATTTGTTTAATTATAAAGGAAACTGCCAAACCATTTTCCAAAGTGTTTATACTATTTTGCATTTTCACTAGCAGTGTTTGAAAGTTCCAAATGCTCTACATTCTCCACAGTATTTGGTGTTAATCTTTTAAATTTGAGCCATTCTAATGAACTTGTAGTGGTATCTTATTGGGGTTTAAATTTGCATTTCTTTGATGGTGAATGAATTTGAGCATCTTTCCATGTGCCATTCAGGTATCTTCATATATGAAATGTGAGTTTAGATCTTTTGCCCATTTTTCTTACTGGGTTGTTACTGAGTTGTAAAAGTTCTTTTTATATGCTGGATATTAGTCCTCATTAGGTATATATATGTATTGAAAAATATTTTATCCTATTCTGTGGTTTCTTATATTATTACTTATATATTTTATTATGTATTTCTTACATATTATCTAAAGGGTATATTTTGAAGAGCAGAAGTTAATATTTTATAAAGTCTAATTTGTGAGGTATTTTTTGCCTACTGTAAAGTCACAAAGATTTTTCTTGAGTTTTCTTCTAGAAGCTCTGTAGTTTTAACTCATATCTAAGTCTGTGATCCATTTTTGACTTTACTTTTTCCCTCACTCTCTATATTTGGATATCACTTGTCATGGATTTCTGTTTTAGAAAGGACTCACCCCTTTCCCCCAACCAGTAAGGACTCTCTTTTAGACTATTTTTGTTCAATCCCTCGTTTGTTTTTTTTTGTCCCTCACATTAAAATATGCTTCTCATTAGTGTCCTGTATATCATGTCTGCCTTCTCCAATCTATTTCCACAATGCCATAATGCCATAGGTTATTACTCTAAAATTACTCCATTCATGTTACTACTGTGCTGAAAAATCCTCAATAACTGTCAGCTTCCCAAGAGTTGCCTAAATCTAGGTGCTGTCACTTGATGGAATCTCCATGTCGCACCATATGAAAAGGAGAGAGTGAATCAGCCAGTTTTCTATGTAAAGAATTAATCAATCCCTAACTTGGAGGACTTAGCCATAACTTCTGGTATTATATTTACTGCATTCTATTGTCATTATTTTGTTAGATTGAACTCTTTTTAATGTATTACCTTTGATATTCTTCCCAGCACCTTCCAGACCATTGGGATACAGGAGACTTTTTCTGAGGGAATAGTTGAGGAACCTTGGCAATTAAAAAGACAGCATTGGAAATCATTGGCTTCAAGGGCAGACTGGGCAGCCAATAATTTTTGGGTGCTATGTTGTTTTTAAAAATCATTTTATACTTAGAGGGGCTAATTTAAAGAGAATAATCTGGAAGACTAAATATAGCCTTCAGTTTCGGAAGTAGTTTCTGTTGAACTGGCAGTGGAAGATGTGATGGAGGAGGATGGTAAGAATAAATTCAGAATAAATTCGTTATTCTGAACTCCCTCTGACTTATTGTATACCGTGCTTATTCCATCAGGGCCTTGCTGTTGTTTTGCTCTGAGACATAGCTATCTAAGCGTAAGATTACATATTTTTAAAAATAATAGAAGCATGTGTTCAAATTAAGTTTATTCTTTAAAAGGTTTTTTTACATGAAAGTAGAGCTCCAAAAGACACCTTATAAAACTTTTATTACTGCTCTTCTAAGGTAGTATACAGGCTACGTAAATATCCAGGAGATAGAATAATTTAGTCTGTGGAGTAACTGTTAGTTTATTGGTTAATGTTTATAGCTTGGTGATGTGGTATAGATTTTGAGTCATTCTTTAGTGTGTTTGCTCATATTATCCTTTGGAAATATTTTAAGTTAAGCCTTCTGACTTCTCTGGTCCCAGGAGGTTCGCCGTAGGCTTGTATGTCATTAATTCAGGGAATGATAGTGGCTGGAGTAATAAACTCAGAGGCTATTGAAAATTTGTAATGATTTTGTTGTATTCATATGCAATTAGATCCTGTTGTGCTCCTATTTAAAACCTTCCAGGGGTTTCCCATTGTGCTTAGAATGAAATCCGAATGCCCTCCTAGGCCTGCCCTCCTCAGCCTTGTCTCCTACCCCTCCTCCCCTTGGTAGCCTTGCTTCTGCTACTCTGCCTGAGCATGAAAGTGCTCGCTGTCCTTAGGCCTTTGTATTTGTAGTCCCCTCTGGGGGTAATCATCTTCTCCAGACCTTTAGATTTTTTTTTTCTTCAGGTTTCATATTAAATGTCACCTCCTCAGAGTGATCTTCAGCAGTCTCCATTCCTCTCTAGTTACCTATTCCGTTACACTATTTTAACTGGCTCCATGGTACTTGTCACCCTGCCTCTCGTTGGTCAGTAATCCTCAGGAGAGTGGTTGCCTTGCTGTATGGTTCACTCACTGCAGTATCCCGGTGCTTGGAGACACACAGCAGGTGCTTGTGCTTGGTAAGTGTGCTTGGTAAGTATGCAGAGGGATGAATGTCATCTGTATTATCATCCTCACTGAAGTAACTGACAGTCAAAAACAACTTGTGACTAAACAGGTACTAATTGATATGATTGTCTGTTTAAATTACTCAATAATTGATTCATCTTTTCATTACATAGTATAGAATTTAATTATGGTAGAAACAGATACTGTCTTTTGTGGCTAGTATGCAGATTACAGGGTTCTGTCTCGTATTCAATTTGTCGGGCCATGATTTCTCTTCATATCAATTCTTTAATGTAGCTAAATAATAGTCTTCTTTTGGTTTTAAGTTTCTATTAATTCCAGAAGTGTTTTGGGACTTGCTGAAGTATCATTAAGCCATGTGTTCTGTTTTTTTTGAGTTAAAGCTTGGCTGAGGTAGGCTGGTAGATTGAGAGCTCTCGGGGCTGGAGGTCAGGAAGCCCAGCCTCTGGTTTTAGTTCTGCCAGTAGCCAACTGTCCACATGAATATTTTGGCCCTCAGTTCTCTAATTTATAAAATTATTAATAGAGTTGAGTGAAATTGTCTCAAATGTTAGTCTTCTTTTAACAGTGTATAATTATGTAATTCTGGGCCAGAACCATTTTGCACTGGTGGGAATTTTTATAGGTTGTATGGGCATGTGGCATATATGATAGTTGTCCAGTTATCATTATGATTTTCAAGAATGAATAGTCAAATTTGTTTTACTTAACTGAACATTAAAACATCTGAAGGATTCAGAAGTGGTCTAGTTTATTTCAGTTTTTGTTTGTTTTTATTTTTGGTGGTGGCTGCAGTAAGAAATACTGTACATGATTTATTGGGCATATCGACTTAAAAATTGACTGTTATTTAAGTAGATAATAAAGGTTTGTCTTCAGGATACTTATTTGGCCTTCTCATAGTTTCAAGGATTTCAACCTTTTTCTTCTTTGGAAATCATTTGAGAATTTTAAAATTGACTTGGCCTCATATGTACTACTTTAGCACATCAGTTTTACTTAAGGTTCATATCATTCTTCATTGACATTAGATATGTATCAGTTTTAAGAAATCTTATAGAATGCTGAATGTTCCATTCTGTATTCTGTAATTCAGTGTTCATCAGAATCATCTTAGGATTTGTTAAACCGTGGATTGCTGCTCCCCACCCTGAGTTTCTGATTCAGTAGATCTGGAGTGGGACCTGAGAACTTGGATTTGCAAGAAGACCTTAGTTTATATCACTGCTGTTCCAACAACCATGCTTGGAGAACCTCTGCTGTAGTTTGTCAAATTCTTTATTTGCATGTGCTGGCAGCATTTTGATTAAGGAATCTTCCTTACTGTATACGGATACATCTCAACAATACACCTTGTAGTCCTTGGATTCCCTCATATTATATGATACCTCATATCCTCTCCAGCTTCCTGGTTGGTGTGATACGTAACACAGTTTTCAATACCAGTGGAACTCTTAACAACAAGATGCTGCCAATAACTTTAACCTTTCAGGTTGTGTGTTTAAATGGGAAAAGCATGCATTTAGACATTTGGGTTTACTCTTGAGAACGCTGGCTTTGGAATCCAAAAGGTTAGCTTAAAGGTTAGCCTTACCACTTATTTGACTATATGAGTTTGGGAAAACTATGTAACTCTTCTAAATCTTAGTTTCCTTAAGTTAAAAATTGTTAAAATTTTATATTTGCCTCATAAGATTTTTAGAAGAGCTTAAGTAAATTAGATAAGGTATATAAAGTGCTTCGTAAATACTCAATAATTGATGGTTTTAGAAAAGTTTGTACGTCAGTCTAAATGGTTATAGCTTTGATGTGGCTTTGGACAGAGTTTCTCTCCATTTCATGACTTGCCTTAATGCGGGTTGCTCACCTAACCTGCTTACCAGGGCCTCGCCATAGACAGCAGACAGGTGTCTGCTTCACCTTACGTGTTTGGAAATGCTATGTCTTGTTCCTGTCTAACCTGGCTCTATCACTGGGCTCTTAGTTTTGGCTCCTGGCTCCACATCAGGCCCTTCCTGCCCTGGTGACCTGTTGCAGCCTGTTTCTCTGACTTGCACCTTCACTTGTGAGAGTCACTGGGGATCTGGAGTGGTTTTGTATTCCTCTTTCTGGCTCCACCTGAAAACCAGTATGGTTAGAGGTATATCTCTACCCTCCCACCTGGGATGGGATGATTTTGTTTTCACCAAATTAATTATGTTAAATGTGTGTGTGATTTTAATTTATAGTCAAACTTTCTTCTGCATTTTAAGCTCCAGTTTTAATGCTGCATGTTCGTTAGAAACATAGCTTCATGAAGATAACTTTGATTTATTGTATTTTCTTAAAAAGGGCCTATATTCACCAGATTTTCATTAGCTTAGAATACATATGAGAAATTTTTAGCTGTAAGTCTTGTTGATTGGAATGAAGATTCCCCTAAGAAACTGTTTTAGTGACTAATAAAAGTTTTGTGAGAAAGTGCCAGTTGCCTCTATCAGAAATTACACTTGGTAGCAGTGTTGGAGGTTCAGTGACTTGTCATTGTTTCACATTCTTTTTTGGTTATGGTCATGAATTCTCTGTTGTCTTAAGTCCTATTGTAATGATATGCTTTCAGCCATACTTTTGATTTCATGCTTTTCAGATGCCAAAGGGGTTTGTCTTTGTTACATATTTACACAAACACTTTGCTTCCTATTTCTTCTTCACTTTACTGATGCTCCTTTTGCTCAACTGGAGGGTGTCTGCCAAGAGGCATGAGTCTGCCTGAGCAGGTGTCTCCTAATCCTAATTTTTGCTTGTATTTGTGAACACATAGCAAGCCTCTTCTGCTGGACCAAGTGAGGGTCGTGGAGAGAAAACAGAGGCACCAGATATAGACTAAGGTGTAAGGAGCAAGATGTAATAGTTTAACTCGATTGGATTTTTTAATTGGGTGGAATAATTCAGGGTTACCACAGAACATTATCACCTAAAAAGATGTGACTTATTGTGAAGGATTCAATAATAAATAATGAGACTGTCTCAGCCATATATTTTCTTGCTTAAAACTATCTTAGTATATATTATACACAAATTTAATTTACAAGAAATTAAAGCAGACATACAAATTTAATTTACATGAATTCAGCTACATGCACTCCATCTTTTATATTAACTCTAAGTGTTGTATATGTGACAGAATTCACAAATGAAGGAATTTACAGCAATAATTTCAATAATATGTTATTTTATTCTATTCTTCACTGACTTTAATATCTATCCCTAAGTGATAGGGATAAATCTCCTATCCTATAAATTCTTACCTATAAATTCTTTGAGGGTGGGAGAAGTAACGAGGGGTAATGACTCTTGGTGTTGTTAAAGATGGCATAGCCAAGGGCAGTGCAGTGGTAATTTTTGACAGATTAAGATCAGATGCTTTGGGGGCAAAGAGCTATTTGTTTTTTGACTTCCAGTGGTCTGTTTTTTCACATCTGTTTGTGCTGGAGTAAAATTAATTTATTTACTTTTATAATGTTTTAAACACTTAGCCATAGTTTGGATTGGTTCCAGCTCTCATAAGTAAATCACTTTGATGAGAGTTTATGAGAATCTTTAAGTAGCTTAGGGACCAATAAAATACTCTTCTTACCAGAAGATAGAAATGATACCCATCAGTGGTACTCATGCTAAAACTTAGTGAGTTAAGAGTATTTGTTTTCAGAGTTTAAAAAAAAAAAAAAAAGTGAGTCACCTATAGTTACTAAGTCTTGATTCTGCTCCCCACAAGCCTTTCTTTTTTTTGAGACAGAGTCTTGCTCTGTTGCCCAGGTTGGAGCACAGTGGCGTGATCTTGGCTCACTGCAGGCTCTGCCTCCCGGGTTCACACCATTCACCTGCCTCAGCCTCCCGAGTAGCTGGGACTACAGGCACCCGCCACCATGCCCAGCTAATTTTTTTGTATTTTCAGTAGAGACAGGGTTTCACCATGTTAGCCAGGATGGCTTCCATCTCCTGACCTCATGATCCGCCCGCCTCAGCCTCCCAAAGTGCTGGGATTACAGGCGTGAGCCACCACGCCTGGCCCACAAGCCTTTCAGTAAATGCTATATTGTAATGGTTATTACAACAAGAAGCTATTGTGCAGCACTCATGAAATGAGTATCTTTTCTGATCCATGAATAGCACTATTATCAAGGGGACACTTGAAGCCTTGAAGAAAAGCTTTTCTTCTGCCTTTTCTTCTTGATGCATTTTTTTTTTTCTCTTAGAACAGCTACCAGTTTATGTTTGGAATACAGCCTAATAACTTGTGCCTTAACCTAATTAAATCATATTTCTTATGGGGTGAAATGATTGACTGTAGGCACAGCAGTACACATAAGGGAAGTAAAAAAGCAATACTGAATTTATAGTTGACTTTTAGAAACTTATACTTCTCACAATTTTTGTCTGGTCTCTCATTCAAGAAAGGGCCTGAGAGTGAGAAGCAAGATGGCCACAGCAAGGAAGGGCCTAGTGTCTGCCATCTAGCTAGGCAGAGCTGAAGCTGCTGGGCTACAGCTCAGAGCACTCGTAACTCCAGACCCAGGCTCACGACCTCCAAGGTTGTGCACCTTTAAGGTTCAAGACGATGGGGAGAATTTTGAAGTTATTCTCATTCTCTGGTTGTACTTTCCTCATCCTAGACTTCACATGGGGCAGACAGACAGTGGGGTAAGTCTAAAGCAGTGGTTCTCGTGAACATTTGGCAACATCTGGAGACTTTTTCGTAGTCACAAATAGAGAGATTACTCTGGCATTTGTCATTGGACAGTGAAACATCCTACAATACACAGGACAGCCTCTCAGAAAAGAATTATCTGGCCCCAAATGTCAATAGTGAGAGTTAACAGAGGATTGTAAAGTTTCTACTATAATAGTTTCATCCCAAAGGCTAATAGAAAGGAAGCAGGGACAGAATTCTTATTTTCGGCCTGAGGAGGGTAATAGAAGTTGGTGTACTATGATAAGTCATGACAGGTTTTGTAGCCATACCCACAAGCTGTCATCTTCAGAAGGAAGAGAAATTCAAGGGCTAAGCTAGTTCCAGTGAAGGCCAACTTGCATTTAAGTGAGTGGTGC